GCAAGGCACAAAAACAGACGCTACCACACCGTGGGGCACAGAAACAGGACACTGCCACATTGCAAGGCACAAAAATGGATGTTGCCACACCACGGGGTGAAGAAACAGGATTCCTCCACACCATGGGGTACAAAAATGGGTACCGCCACGCCTCGGGGCACAAAAATAGACCGCTGTCACGCTGCAAGGCCCAAAAATGGCCACTGCCACGCCGCACAGAGAATAGGGCAAGGCTAGTATCACATGGGCGCTAGCCCTGCCCCATTTCATGGCCCCTTGTGTACACGCATGCGCACATACGTATAAAATGCTTAACCCTCTGTTTTCCTTTGGTCCGCCAATCTAGAAAGTAGCTTGACTGAGAGCTGTTGATATTCCTTTCTTCCAATATGTAACTTTCCAACATGCAACTTTCATGGCCTTTAGGCATACATGGATGAGAAGGAAGGACTCCCTGGAGAAGGGCTTAATGCTGGGAAAGATGGAGGGCAATAGAAGAAGGGGACGACAGAGAATGAGGTGGCTGGATGGAGTCATTGAAGCAGTAGGCATGAGCTTAAATGGACTCCAGAAGATGGTAGAGGACAGGAAGGCCTGGAGGAACGTTGTCCATGGGGTTGCGATGGGTCAGACATCACTTCGCAACTAACAGCAACAAGGCATACATAGAGGATGGAGGGAGAACACTAAGCTTGGTTGATACCTACAGTATAGTTTTAGATTCCAGAGCTGGGATCTTCTCCCATTTTTTTTGTGAAACCCACTACTATTTTTACTGTCCCCAAAGGTGCTTTTCCAAAAGGCAATTGGAGTTTCTTGGGTTTTTTCCTTGAAAATGTTTTGCTTCCCATCCAAGAAGCTTCTTCAGTCCTTACTGAAGCAAAACATTTTCAAGGAAAAAAAACAAGAAACTCCAGTTGCCTTTTGGAAAAGCATCTTTAGGTCAACCATGACTGGATCCCCATAGCCAGTGTTTCTCAACTTTGACAATTTTAAGGCATGTGGACTTCAATTCCCAGAATTCCACAGCCAGCAATGCTGGCTGTGGAATTCTGGGAGTTGAAGTCCACATGCCTTAAAATTGTCAAGGTTGAGAAACATTGCCATAGACATTTATTTGGTTTTATGGTCCATAGGATATTCTATTTGGCACCCAACTCCTTGCAGAGGTTTGTGCCTCTGATAATTACGATAATTATTATTTTATTTATTCCAACATTTATCTGGCAAAAAAAAATCCTGGCAGGGCATATTAAAGGCAGACTAAAGAAACAGGAGAGCAATATGATGGGAATAATTACAGATGCCAAAGCAGGACATAAGAAATTGAAAGACCAAGCTAGCTGTTTAGGAGACCTAACAGGAATTGAGCAAATTGAGGTCATAAAAGATTGCGCAGGTCAAGGCACAAGGTAGGCAGTTGATGAAGGAAAGAAAGAAGAATTGGGGGGGGGGAAGAATAGCGGTGGGGGACATCTGGGAACATTTAACTTAGCTGGAGAAAATGATTCCCTGGGGGGTTTTGATGATTTGAGAATTCATTCCACCAAACGGAAACCCAGCGGAAAATATATCTTTCTTCTTGAATTAAGGACAGATGCTTTAGTTCATGGCTACCAAATATCAATGACAACAAAAGGTGGGTTGTTTTTTTTAAAGTACTTAAAAATAAATGATGGTCATTTTGGTTTCCTGAGTGGAGGGGGGGGGGAGGAAATCTATACCTAAGTAATAGCTTTGTTAGCAAAATAAGTATTCATATGAGCTGAGTTCAACTTTTGGCAATTTCATGGATGTCTGCTTAGAGTGATGCAAGACGTCTTGCGAAATCTATTTTGCCTTCCCAGCTGCAACTGGTCTCTCATCCATGAATAAACCAGGTCTGATCCTGCCTATTTTTCTAAGATCAATTGGATTTCAGTTGTCTCATTCCGGCAGAAACGTTAAAGCGGGAGAGATGAATTCCAAATAGGTGGAACTGCCAATAAAATCAAGAAAAATGACATTCACCCAGACAGAAAAAAGTGCTTCTCTGAAGAAGTTAACGAAGCCATTGACTTTCCTCCCACAAGATATGAAAGCATTAATTGAAATGGAGCTTTGGGTTATAGCCGCTGTTACCCTTTCAGCAAATTGGATCAGATATAAGCCATATCCCTAAGGTAGATCTGGGAGAATCTAAAATGTTGGAAGGAAGGAAGAGAAGCCGGGCCTCTGAGAGGTTAAGATATTAGATAGCTTCCTTAACTAGTAGACCAAAGAAAACGTAGCTTTGATTATGGAAAGGAACTCAAATAAGGGTTACACAACAGAGATCGTGAAAAGTTGAAACTAAGATCTGGAAAGCAGTGGATATCATGGAAGCTTCAGGATAACTACCACTATAGGTGACTTGAGATATTTCAGTATGCATGTAAAGCAGATCATGGTCTGTTTTCCTGTTCTCTTACATCAGGGCTCTTCAGACTTGGCCCTTTTATGACTTGTGGACTTCAACTCCCAGAATTCCTCAGCCAGCGTGCCTGGCTGAGGAATTCTGGGAGTTGAAGTCCACAAGTCATAAAAGGGCCAAGTTTGAAGAGCCCTGTCTTACATGATTATTTTCATTTATACTCACTCCCCACTGCTGTGTTGGGCCACTTAGACCATCTTCTTCTTTGAGCAAGATAAAAAGGGCATTAAGTGATTTACATTAAATGTGTGTATGTGTCCTGTGTCTCCCTGCTATGGAACATCCCAAGTATTAACTGTATATTTTTAACGTGTACCTTTCATATGGTATGATATGCTACAAATACATTTATTAAAAATATATTTTACCTTGGGGCATTACCTCCTGTTTTCAGTACAAAAGCTGAAATCCTTGTTGGTTTTTTTATTTTCATTACTATGGGGAAAAAAAGTCTCAAAAGGTAGGATCACACCTTCTTAAAAACTGTAACTTCCACCTCTTCCTATCCTTGAGGTCCTTCAAGGTAAAGTCTTCTTCAGGGTGAATTCAACTCTTGGTGATGCAACAGACACATCTTTGTGATTCTCCTATCACAGTGATGGCGAACCTTTTGGAGACCGAGTGCCCAAACTGCAACCCAAAACCCACTTGTTTATCGCAAAGTGCCAACGCGGCAGTGTAACATGAATACTGAGGTTTTAGTTTAGAAAAAAACAACTCATACATTAACATCTTTTGTCTTACAAGAAAAACACAATAACAAAGCTTTCAATGATACAAACAACGTTTTATTGAAAGGTACAAGTTTGCATTTGGCATGCTTTTGAAAAATTAATGTGATTTTTGCTGTTGTATGCATGCTGATAATTTGTCTAACCTTGGCTCATACTTTGTAAGTTTGAGAGCAACACATGCAGCACTCAGGTCATCTGTTAGTCTGTTTCTGATGTCAGATTTGATCTAATTCAAAGCTGAAAACAGTGCGCTCGCTCCGGAGGCTTGTTTTGGCTAGGAAGAGCTTGAGAAATGGCTTTTTCCTGAGAAAACTTAGCCAAAGAGCGAGGTACATGTGTCTACAGAGAGGGCTCCAAGTGCCTCCTCTGGCACGCGTGCCATAGGTTTGCCACCACTGTTCTATCCATAGTGTTTGGTTTTCCCGTTGCTTTCTTTTGATGTCTTTTTCTATTTCCTCAAGCTTTGGATGGGAAATGAAACATCTTTAAGGAAAAACAAAGAAACTCCCCTGGCCTCTTGAAAAAGCACCTTTGGGATTATCTGGTAATTTCCCAGTCAAGCATTAATGAGGCCTGAAGCTCCTCACCTTCCAAGCAGAGTGAAAGTCAGATCAAAGGTAGCTACAATGGAAGGCCTACTTGCGTCTAGTTTTCCAACAGCTGACATATCAAAATAGAACTGGAGCTGCAGAATTCAAATTATACGAAGCACTTCTATAGGCATATGCTTCCCTTTGGACACATCCTACTTAAGAGATGAGGAAAAATATTAAAATGGAGTGAGCTCATCTTCAAGATTCTCCCCTTCCATGCACGTTCTATGTGCCTGAAAAAGAAAGCACATTTGATCTCCTTGAGGTTAATATACCTTAATTAGTTATCATTCAACATACTATGCTGGACTATTATAGCTGCCCATCTTCCCTTTCGTATTGCCTTGATGTGAAATTTCAATCTGCAAGGGGCATTGGTTGCTATGCATTCAAAAGGAGAAAACACATTTTAATATGCAGATAGGCACTAATCAAATTATATAAACATAGGTTTTGTAAATTATTCAGCCCAGCATCCTGGCAGTCCCAATTTCCATCTTCACTTCGGTTTGATTGGATGCACGAAGCTCATGTGAGAGGTTTTCATGATAATCTTTTAGGGAGCACTCTGCAGAGTAATTAGTGGAACAAGACTGGGCTTAACGCTAATCAGCCGCTTTGGGTTTTTTTTTTTCTTACATTCTTTAATAAATGAATCTTCAATGCTGAAATGCAGCAAGGTATCATGGCAAACAGTTGACTGCAACTTACTG